TGCTCATGTAGCAAGCAATACCGAGAAAAAAGTTTTAAAAAATATTATGAATTAATTTCATGCCTACTTGTGGCTAAACAAAATAACAAGCTTACTAATGAAAAATCATGAATCTTGCCTAACCGAGTCTACTCCATTTCCTAAAGTGAATGTGACATCTTATAATAATTTTGAGCATGGATGAGGATATGGTCGTAGCCATGGATGTGGACATGGTCGTGGCAATAATCGTGGTCGAATAATTATCGTTATGATCATGATGGTAATAATAATACACCTCACCACCGAAGTGGATAAATTATGAAACGAAACAAGAAAAGAATAAAAATGGATCAAGTCGACATTCGAAAATGAATGTTATAGATGTGGTATGAAGGGATATTAGTCGCGTACTCGTTATACACCAAAGCATCAATTTCAGCTTTATCAAGCCTCATTGAAAAAGGAAAGAAAATGATATAGAGAAAAATGTTATATACCAAAATAATCATTGTGATAATGTTCCTCTCGAAGGTTTCAATAATTTGACACATTTAGATGTTGCTAATTTCTTTCAAGATTCCGAAAGAAAATATCATTAGATTAATGATAATAATTGAAATTAATATCTTGTTACCTTCTTTATTGTTAAATAAAAAAAAAGGTTTTATGTTTTCTTATAATTTCTATTACATCATGATAGTTATAATTTTATTTATTTTGTATTTATGAAGAATATATGGCTACTACCAAGTTTGTAAATGGTTTAAGCATTATAGAGGAGAATCTATGCCTCGTGGATAGTCCAATAATATATACTATACTTAAAAATAAAAGGTATTTCTCCAATTTAATGATGGAAAAGACTAATGTTAACACTATATCTGGTAGTGTTAATTTAATTGATGGCTTCGAAGAGAAAATATATTATTACCTGGAGGTACAAATTTGATTATAAATGATGCATTATTCTCTCCTAGGTCCCATAAAAATTTATTCAGTTTTAAAGATATTTGTTTAAATGGATATCATATTGAGACAATAAATATTGAGAATATTGAATACTTATATATTACAAATTTCATATTAGGTAGAAAATATGTATTGAAAAAATTACTTGTCTTTTCTTCTAGCATTTATTATACAAATATTCAAATGATTGAAACAAATCTCATAGTAAACTAGAAGTTTACTAATTCTTTCATTCTATGGCATGACCGGTTGGGCCATTCTAGATTCATTATGATGCAAAAAATTATTGAAAATTCGTATGGACATCCATTGAAGAACCAGAAGATTCTTTAATCTAATGAGTTTTAATATCCCGCATGTTTTCAATGCAAACTTATTATTAAGTCATCACCAAATAAAATTGGGATTGACTCTTCAACTTTTATAGAACGTATACAAGGTGATATATGTGGATCAATTCATCCACCATATTGACCATTTAGATATTTTATGGCTTTAATAGATGCATCTACAAGATAGTCACATGTATATTTATTATCAACTCAAAATCTAGCGTTTTCGAGGTTACTTGCTCAAATAATTCAATTATGAGTACAATTTCTAGATTATAACATTAAAACAATTTGTTTTGACAATACCGGTGAATTTACCTCTCAAGCATTTAATAAATATTACATGTCTATTGGAATAAGAGTTGAACAACTTGTTGCTCATGTTCATACTTATAATAGTTTAGTAGAATCATTTATCAAAAGCCTCCAATTGATAGCCGGACCATTACTTATGAAAACAAAACTCCTTGTTTATCTTTGGAGATATCTAATTTTACATGCAGACAACACTTATTCGTATCGAGCCCACAAGTTATTAGAAATTATCTCCCCTTCAATAGATTTTTTATCATGAGTCTAATATTTCTCATTTAAGGATTTTTGGATATGTTGCATGTGTCCCAATTACTCCTCCACGACGAACTAAAATAGTTCTTTAGAGGAGATTAGGAATATATGTTAGATATGAATCTTCTTCTATAATTAAATAACTTGAACCAGTAATAGCCGATGTTTTCACGACTCGATTTATGAACTCGTCATTTTCATGAAATAATTTTTTCAACATTAATGGGAGAAAATAAATAGAATAAGTAGTTGAAAATGTTGGAACAAGAAATTACTTGAAATACTTCATTTTTATATCATCTTAATCCCCACACAAAATAATGTGAACTTAAAGTTTAGAGGATAATTCATTTACAAAGTCTTACAAACCAACTACCATATGCATTCTCCGATCCAAAGAGAGTAACTAAATCACATGTTCTTGTTGAGAATGCTCCTATTAGAATTGATGTCCTAGAACGACACTTTATTAATGTTATAGAAAATGAATCTAATGCATGCCCGAAGTATGGAAGATCGATCGATTCTAAAAGCAAAAATCCTCAAAAGAAAAGGGTAAATAATTAAAATAAAGATGCAAATATTCATAAAATGATCCAATATATTTCTCATAATAGGCTTTAGAAAGAAGTCCAAATACTTGAGAAAAATCAAGAAATTTTGATAAATTATGTTAATATAAAGAGAAAATGGGATCGAGAAGAAATATTCATTGATAACATTTTTGTATATAATGTTAAAATTGATATTTAAATAAGGATCCCGAGCCTAAATCTATTGAAGAATGTTGACATAGAGATGATTGGCCTAAGTGGAAAGATGCAATCCAAGAAGCATTAAAATCTCTCACGAAACGAGCGAGCTTTTGGACCTATAGTTAAAATACTTGAAGATGTTAAACCGAGTAGGATACAAATGGGTATTTGTGCTAAAATGGAATGAAAAAGATGAAATGGTGAGATACAAAGTAAGACTTGTAGCATAAGGGTTTTCACAAAGACTTGGCATTGACTATAAGGATATATATTCTCCTATAACGGATGCAATTACATTATGTTATCTTATTAGCTTGACAAGCACATGAAAAACTTCATATGCATTTAATGAATGTGATCACAGCCTATTTATATGGTTCACTTGATAATGATATCTATACGAAAGTCCTAGAAAGACTTAAAATGCCCGAAGCATGTAAAATACATTCTCGAAAGATGTATCTAATTAAATTACAAATACCTTTATATGGATTGAAACAATTTGGACACATGTGGTATAATCATCTTAGTGATTATTTATGAAAAGAAGGTTATAAACATAGCCCATTTTGTCCATATGTCTTTATAAAGAAATTCAAAAAGGTGTTTATGATAATTGCTATATATATTGACGATATAAATATAATTAGAACTCTTAAAGAGATTTTAAGTGTCATAAATTATTTAAAACAAGAATTTGATTTGAAAGATCTTGGAAAAATAAAATTTTATCTCGGCCTACGGTTCGAACACCTAACGGATGGAATTTTTATTCATCGATCAATATATATAGAAAAAGTACTACACCGATTATTTACGGATAAGGCTCATCTATTGACTAGTCCAATGGTAGTTCGCTCACTTGATGTCCAAAAGGACTCTTTTTGACCTCAAGAAGATAATGAAGAACTTCTTGGTCCCGAAGTGCCATACCTTAGTACAATTGATGCATTAATGTATATTAGTTATAATACTCAATCCGATATAGCATTTTCTCGTAAATTTATTAGTAAGATATAGTTCTGCTTCAACACGGAGACATTGGAATGGAACTAAACATATATTACATTATCTCCGAGGAACAAATGATATGGGCTTATATTACTCCAATAAATCAAAAACAGGATTAATTAGTTATACGGATACGGTGTTATTTATCTAATCCATAAAAAGCTCGATCTCAAATTGGTTATATATTTACATATAAAGATACGGTTATATCATGGTGTTCTATAAAGCAAACTATAGCTACAACATCTTCAAACCATGCAGAAATACGAGCAATTCATGAGGCAAGTTAAGAATGTATTTGGCTAAGATCAATGACCCATCATAATCGAGAGGCATGCAATTTATCCACTAACAAGGAAGTTCCAATAATATTATATGAAGATAATACTACTTGCATAGTTCAATTAAAGGTAGGATACATCAAAGGTGACGAACGAAGCATGCATCACCAAAATTATTTTTCATACATAATCTTCAACGAAATGGTGATATTAATATTCAACAAATTTGATCAAGTGAAAATTCAGCAGATTTATTCACTAAGGTGTTACCTATCATAACTTTTGAGAAGATGATTCACAAGATTAGAATGCGTTGTCTTAGAGATCTTAAATAATGTTTTTAACCGAGGGAGACTAATATGAAGATTAATGTATACAAGGAATACTCGTACTTTTTTTCCTTCATTATGATTTTTTTTCTCACTAGGTTTTTTCCTATTAAGGTTTTAACGAGACACATTCCTTATACAATGAACATTCAAGCGGGATGTAATTGATTCATTATGAAATAATGAATGTCCATATGAATGTTCATCTACTTTTCATATCCCCGCTACTCATGATTCTTAATGTGATTCAATATATCATTTAATATGAGAAATTGAAAGAGCGATGCAATTAATTCAACAATTTATGTATTTTTAATTATTCATATTCTCTTTCAATTCTCTTCTCAATTTTGAAGCCTATAAATAGGTTTGATTATTCATTAGTTGGTGTACAAGTTTTTTCAAGAGATTAAGAGAATAATTTGAAGTTCTCATCACTTATATTTATTTTATTAGTGAATTTTTTTTTATCATCTTTCTCTTTAATTCTTCTATTATTTTTATTTCTTTTATAACACATATGATATTTTAACAATATTTGTCAGTTATGTCAGAAACTAATGTTTATTATGGTCATATTTTCAACATGTCAGAAAAAAAAAAAAAACAAAGTCGCACCATTGAAAGCAAGAAAAAACAAAAAACAAAAAAAAAAACAAAACTCCTGCGGCGTTCACCAAATTTTTTGGTATAAAATCTGAATTTGGTTACCCAAGAGTGGTTCTGACCTAATCTGTATGTCAATATACTCAATACAGTTCTAAAATTGTGAAAATGTTAGAGCTCCCGGAAATTCTATTGCATCCATACTCTCTAATTGCTTTCCTTCTTTTTATTTTTGTTACCAAATGGTTCTTCATTACTACAGGGAATAAAAACTTACCACCTTCACCATTAAAGATTCCTGTTGTAGGCAATCTCCTTCAGTTAGGTTTGTACCCACATCGATCTCTACAGTCTTTGGCTAAACGCTATGGTCCACTCATGCGCTTGCACCTCGGCAGCGCGCCTGCACTTGTGGTCTCGTCTGCTGATGGAGCTCGAGAGATCATGAGAACTCATGATCTCCTATTTTCAAATAGGTATGATTCAAGCATTGGAAGAAGACTTTTGTATGACTACAAATATTTGTCCTTGGCCCCCTATGGCGAGTACTGGAGGCAAATGAGGAGCATATGCGTCCTGCAGCTTCTTACTCCAAAAAGGGTTCGGTTATTCCAATCCATCAGAGATGAGGAGACAGATTTGCTCGTACAAACCGTCGAGCACTTTTCTTCAAGTTCATTGCCAGTTGATCTCAGTGAACTATTTTCTGCATTAACAATTGATGTGGTATGCAGGATTAGTTTGGGCAAGAAGTACACAGAAGGGTATCGCGGGAGAAAATTCAAGAAGCAATTGGAAGAGTATGGTGTAGTATTGGGCGTTTTCAATGTTGAAGATTTCATTCCATGGCTTGATTGGATAAATTACCTGACAGGTTTAAATGCTAGAGTGGAACGGGTTTTTAAAGAATTTGATAGCTTTCTTGATGAAGTTGTGGATGAATCTGAGGCAAAAAGGGTAGGTGCGAATGAGGATAAAATGAACTTTATGATGTTCTGTTTGAGATCCAAAAGAACCGCGCAGATGGTATTTCTATAGGCAGAGATAGCATAAAAGCCATCATTCTGGTAAGAAAACTGACTTGCCTAATTTGAATATATCTGTCGATCTGCTATGTTAATGTTAGTTCAAATTTTCTTTTTACATACAAAGGGATATCTCTCTTATATTGTTTTCCGTTAGCAAGGAAAAGAGTAAGTTCAATAATTTAGGATGACTGACCTATTTAAACCCTCTTGTAGGATATGCTTGTCACGAGTAGTGGTGTTCGTTCGGTAATTCGGTTTAGTTTCAAACTTTTTTGATCGGTTTTCAGTTAACCAAATTGTCTAAAAAATAACCGAAACTGAACCAAATTATTATTTGATTTTTTGATTCGGTTTTGAAATATATCGGTTTTTTTATTCGATAATTCGGTTTTCACCTGTAATTATCTATACTTCGATTTTTGAAATGATCATGCACTTTCGAAAAAATAAATTTAGTATTTGCATTGCGATTTTAGGCTACGTTCCTATATGTATACATTTTTCAATTTCATTGAACTCGTCTATTTACTATTTTTTTACTACTCCTCAATAGGCATTACTAATATAATATCAATTGATATATATCTATAAAATACGAGATGTCATCATTACCATATAAAATCTAATAATATATAATATATGTTATTGTCTATCAGTATCAATAGATAATACCGTCAAATATGTGTTACAATTAAGACATTTTAACAATTCCTTCTAAAAAGAAACAAAGCATGCTTTGAAGCTCAAATATAACTTACTTATTTGTCTTTATGAAAGACACTTTTAATTAACTTGACGTAATTAGAACTAATAATTTTGGGTAACTTGTTAAACACTACATCCATAAGCTAACCTTTGCTAATTAAATGACAATGTTGTTTTAAAACAATGAAAAACATTAAAACTTTAAACACTCAACTTTCTTTAGTGCAATTTTAAATTATATGTGTTTACTAAAAAGAGATGTACTAATTATTATTAGGGTCCATAAATTAATTAGTTTTCTTTCACATAGAAAAAAAAACACTATCTCACATCTTTTTTTTTTTAAATTATAAATTGAATCAAGAAAGAAATTATGTACCTCCTTGGGCAATTATAAACAAGAATTGGTTATGGTCATTTGGCGTTGGGCCAGCTTGGCTTATGTAATTAATGCAACAAGAATTGGTTATGGGCTAATTGATTTAACTCCAATTAGCTTAGGTTTGCGTGAAGGTGTGAGGATTGGAATGAATGACGTCGTTAATCGATGAATTTTTTTAAAAAAATTTAATAATTTTGGTTATTCGGTTTTAATTGAATTAAAAAAAAAAACCAAAACCGAAATCAAAAATCGGTTATATTTCGGTTCGATTTTTTTTTTTAGTGTCTAAAAAACAAAACCGCACCAAAATTAATATTTCGATACAGCTTCGGTTCGCTTATTCGGTTTTCATCGAATAGTGAACACCCCTAATCGCAAGAACTAATACAACAGCTTATTGCCTTAGAATGGACAATGACAAAGTTGATAAAACACCCCCAAGTCATGAAGAAAGCACGGGATGAGATGAGAAGGATCACCGGAAGCAAACATAGTATAACAAAAGATGATTTAGAAAAAATGCTATACTTGAAAGTAGTTATCAAGGAATCTCTTCGTTTACGCCCTCCGATTCCATTGCTTATTCCACGAGAATCATCTATGGATGTCAAAGTTCAAGGCTATGGTATTTTAGCGAAACCAAGAGTAATGGTCAATGCTTGGAAAATTGGGAGAGATCCTTCATCGTGGGAAGAGCTAGAGGAATTTAGACCGGAGAGGTTCTTGGATAGTGCTATAGATTTCAAAGGAAATGACTTCCAATTGATTCCTTTCGGAGTCTGGAAGGCGAGGTCGTCTAGGAATAACATGTGCTTCTCGCCCTAATTGAGATTATGTTGGCAAGTCTTTTGCATAGGTTCAATTGGGCATTGCACGGTAGAGCAAAACTAGAGGACATAGATGTAACGAAGCTCTCGGACTAGCGATCCATAGGAAATTCCCACTTGTTGCTATTGCAACTCCTCACTCTTTCTAGAGGGTAGAGGTCCTACTCGTTACTATTGTGCTTAATCGGTGTCCAAATATTCTACTTTCAACAGGAATAATTGTAGTTTTGATCTTTATGTCCATTACCGATAAGGATCTCAAAATAATATCGTCTCTTTTTCCGTAATAAAACAGAACTTGTTCTCCCAATGGTGAATTATGTTTTTCGATGACCTTCTAATATTCAATCGGATGCACTCGTGTCGCTACCCGACTTCGGACGGGACTCCCAAAAAATTAAGGATTTGGTGCTTACGGAGTTATTTATAAGTTTGGAGTCGCCACCTAGTATTGAAGGAACTAGGAACCTAAAATGGACACTAGTTCGTAGATTCTAAGGCAAAGAGTTGATTACGCTTTGGGAATATATAAATCATCGAAAGATGCCCTTTCTTAAGAAAAGTACTATGTCCGGTTTAGTCCTAAATTCATCTCCTAAAGTGTTTTATTTATGTCAAATTATTTTTTGTTTTAAAGCTTTAATTTTCCAAGTCAATATATATATATATATATATATATATATTGTTCTATTTTTTTAGCGTGGCATCGTATTGAAACGATCGTCGGACCCCTTCGTTGGGAGACATGTCGATTCAAACATCGGATCCACTTTTTGAGTCTTGATACAATCGGTGTGTCGAAGAACATCTTAGTTATCGAAAAAAATTATTTATTGTTTTTTTTTTTTGTAAAAAAATAAAATAATAAAAAATAAAATAAAATAAATCATCATCAATCCGTAAAAATTTAATAGGAGACTTGACAATTATCTACGTATTGACTACTTAATCTAATTTTAGGCACTTCAAGGAAAACTATCATCGATCCCTAAGACTTTAGGAGATTGACAATTTCCTCACCTATTAACTATTAATCTAATTTTTAAATAAAATCTTTTTAAAAAAAATATTTGTATTATTATTATTATTATTATTATAGAAAAATTATAATCATTTCCTAAAAATTAGGAGACTCGATAATTCAGCCTATCATTTTATTATATATCCTAATTATCGAAAAAGAAACATAAATAAATATTGACTAAATAAATAAATATAAGAAACTCAAGAATTTAAAATATTAAGTCTAAATTAGACATAAAATAAAAGGCATGTATGATAATTAAAAAAAAAATCAGAACTGATTTACTAGGGAATAAAAGGTATTTTATTCTCTTTTCTGACCCGAGCTCCCCTTTTTTTTTCTTTTGGATCGGATTCAAACCCAAATCTGTGGCCCATCTCTTAAAACCAACCTATATTAATCGAAACCGATTTCTCTTAAACACATTATAAGCCTAACAGTAATCCAAGCTCGAACCCTCTTTTTTTGAATCAAGACAAATTAGAAATGGATGAAGGAATTACTTGGAAAACGTAATTGAATATGAGTGATTGAACTCAAACTTTGAACGAACAGATGGATAGAAAGAGCTGCTTTGTTTCCTCCTTTACAGTCTAGAAATAGAGCAGGGTGCTGGTGGGATTAAATTTTGATATCAAATGCTCTTTTTCTCCCTTTACTTCTGCTATCTGTGGTTCTCTTTTTTTTCTTTTTTTTCTTCTTCTATGCTTTCCTGTTTCTCTCTTTCTATTTCTTCTCGGTCCACCTTTTTCTTCTTTACTGCTCACTTCTCTCTATTCGTTACTTTCTTTCTTTCCTTTTTTTTTGGTTCTTTCCTGCCTGCTTCGTTTTTTTTTCTTTGGTCTCCTCTTTTTCTCTCTATATTTCCTCTCGGTCTCTCCTTTTCCTCTCTCCCCTCTTTTTTTCTAGCTACTGCCTATTTATAAGCTTAGCATAGTTGTGGAGAGTGGCATGGCAGTTTGTAAGGGAACGATGGCTGATCATGGGGAGTGAAGTGTGGAGGTTGTGGGGAGTGGAGAGTGGAGGTTATATTTTGTGGAGAGTGGAATAGTGAGAAAAATTGGAGCAGGAGCTATGGTAGTTTGAGTTTGTGGGGAAGGTGATGAAGAATGGAAGTGGACTAGAGACGTCTGAGGGTGGAGTGGAGAGAAAAAGAAAAAGAAAAAGAAGAAAAAAATAAAAGAAAAGGAAGAAAAACGTGTGAGGAGAGAGTGGTAGTTTGTTACAAACTGTAACAAACTGCCAATACTCATGTTTATCTCCTTCTTTAAAGAAGGAGATGAATAGTAAAATGTACCAAAGAATTCAAGAGTGAATGACATGTCGTCGATGGCCAAAGTGTCAAGTTCGTCCTGTCGTTCGCTCCTTCATTTCAACTAGGTCCTTCTCAATTTTAATTTCTCTGCAATTAAGTCCTTTTTGATAATTATTTTAGCCCCTTTAGTTTCAATTGTTCCTAATCCCCTCTTAATATATTTCCATATTTTCTTAAACTTTATGATATTTATAAATTGACCCATAATACTTTTAAAATAAATCACAATTAAATCCTTAAAAGTAAAATTGATCAATTTTTTTTACTCTTTTTTTTAATAATAATAATAATAATAATAAATTTATAACCCAAATTTGAGTTATGACAATTTCCCTCTCTTTACAATACTTATGACACAAAGTCAAATGAAAAAAATAGGTTTTTCAATGACTTTGTATAATAAGCTTATAAAAAAAAATTTTTTTTTAGGCAAACTTTTTTTTTTTAGAAAAATAAATATGCAATACATGAAAAATTAAATATGCAGTACATGGCCATGTTCATTAAAGGCGGCTTCGCCTTGGAAAAGTAAATATACGAGTACATGAGAAATTAAACATACGATAAATGGCCATGTTTGTTAAAGGCGACTGCACTTGGAAAAGTAAATATGCAATGATGAAAAATTAAACATGTAGTACATGACCATGTTCGTTAAAGGCGGCTTGCCTTAAAAAATAAATAAAATTTGCAATACATCAAAAGTTAAATATGCGATACATGGCCCCGTTCGTTAAAGGCGGCTTATCTTGGAAAAATAAATATGCGATACATGATTGTGCTCGTTAAAGGCGATCTGCCTTGGAAAAGTAAATATTCGAGTGATGAAAAATTAAACATGCGATACATAGCCATGTTCGTTAAAGGCGACCTCGCCTTGGAAAAGTAAATATGCAATGATTGCTAAGCAATCTTGATTGATGCAATGTATTGAATTTGATGATCATACTTGAAAGTGAGGATTGATCATTGATTTTTGGATTTCACACTTGGGCGATGGCCTATTGTGAGGTGACCTTACCCGAAACAAAACTTGACATGATGGTTAGTTGAGATACCCGTAAGAAACATATGGTACTCCGCTCAACTCCCCTTCGACCTTTCTCTTCCGGTTATCAAAGTTTCAATGTTGGATCGTTATTTGTGATTTGAGCACTATGACTTTGGCCCCCGATCGGGTTCTACCCTTTCGGTAAACTTGGGCTTATCTATTCTTTCGGATGTATATTGAGATAACTCAACCCTTTTTGTCACATTGAAGGTAGTAATCGTTCCCTTTTGTGATCAACCACTTAATTGACTATTTGCACTTGATAATATCATGTTTAATATATGTTTTCTTTTTGTCGACTTTCTTTGTGACTTGAGGTCCTATATGCATTTCAAAATGTTTGCATTTCACGAATTCCTTTTCCATAAAGAAAGCTAGCTAGATTTCAATTAGAGATGTTAGGTTCCAAGTTCGGACACATTCATGTGTGTACTTCGAGAGACTTGTCATGCAAATGCTATGATATGATCAACTTGGTGATTTTCTTTTGTATTTATGAATAATTGGCTTATGAAAAGAGCTCTTTAATATGAGGAGAAAGGGTGAGCTTTGTTCCTTGGGGAATTATTACACTTTGATACCCGAGTGTGATTTCACATGACATGTGTCTTGATTTTGACTATCTATTTTTTTTTCATAAAATTTTATCACAAATGCTCATAGACTAAGACTCATCCGACTCATAGGTCACCTTTAGTTAGAAAGGGCTTTCATTGACACGTAACGTTGGTTATGGCATTGGTTTCTTGAAGCATGGATAATTACGGCTCAAATGGTGTTTCGGGGTTTTATTGACATAGGATCACTTTCCAAAAGCCCTTTTTTTTTTTTTTACTTTTTGGACATATCCGATGTCGATGTTTGGCTAACTTGAACTCGCCTTTTCTTTTTATATTTCAAAATGGATCCGATGATGTAAGACAAAACTCTTTCAACGTGAGAGTTTCCCCTTTTTTATTTTAAAGGAAGGCGAGGTTGTTTAGCAACAATTTTTTTTTTTTATTAATGTCCTCTCGATAATGAGATTTTTTTATAGCTTTTTGGCATTACGCCCCAGATATAGGAGTGATCTTAGTCTAGGTTATTATGAAATAAACCAAAGGCTCAAAATGGGACTTCAAAGGAGAGACTTGATTTTAAGTAAGATGAAATTTTCAAAGATGGCCTTTCCTCATTCTAATGGCGAACTATATAGTCTAATGAGTATAATTCTAATGAGCTTTTATGATGAGATGATGCTTAGATAGGACATTTGATTTGGACACATGTCATGTAACCATCACGAGAGGTTTCGAGTGCTCCTTTTTCATAGGTCGAGAGTGATTGTATCGGTAATTTTTTTTTTTAAATTACCAATCATTGGATTTGCATGACATTTTTCGAGCACCAACTTGGATACATCCGTCCCACTCTACCGGACTCATCATTTTATTTGTCTTTGTTTTAAGCCAAATAGAATGTCGAGTGATTACCTCCCAATTGAAATCTTGACCGCTTTGCTTATTCAATAGTGAATTCTCCTTGTTGATTTGATTTGGAAAGGCATATGTGACCTCGGTATCTTCCGGGTTCGTTGGAGTTTTTTTTTTTTTTTGAGTAAGATACTCG